TACTTGCATTGTACAAAAGAATATTACAGATATAGTTTTCTGAAACATACAGATACCCTCAAACGACAGTTATAACAAAGATTCTAGGGAGTGGAGCAACAGTGGATGTGTATTGTAAATGTCACTAACTTTGTTTAAGATTAGGAGGAGAGAAGATACAGGAGATCTCCATTATCTTCTCTATTCTCCCTCAGGCCTTTACCTTTCTCTGGATCAGACTATAAAGATTGAAGTAGCAAAGTTACATTCTATATTTCCCTCTTTATAGTCTGCCATTGAAGTATAAAGATTGATAGACAATAATGTCAATACTGATCCCAAATATTTGATCCAATATAACTATTTTTTAAATTTTATTTTTTGTTACATTTTACTTTCCAAACTGTCTCCCTCCCTCCCCACCCCACACTAGAGGAGGACATGATTTGAAATATATGTGTACGTGTGTGTGTGTATGTGTGTGTGTGTGTGTGTGTGTGTATGTGTAAAACCATTCTATGCATACTTCCGTTTATCAGTTCTTTCTCTGGAGGTGGATAGCATCTTCCTCCATACATCCTCTGTAGTTGATTTGAGTATTTATAGTACTCAGAATAGCTTAGTCATTCACTGTTATTTTTTGAACAATATTGCTTGTTACTGCATATAACAATCTCTCAGTTCTGTTCATTTCACTCTTTATTATTTCATGCAAATCTTTCTATGTTTTTCTAAAATCAACCTGCTCATGATTTCTTAACAGCACAGCAGCACTCCATCACAATCATATACCACAACATGTTCAACCATTCCCCAACTGATAGGCATCCCCTCAATTTCCAGTTCCTTGCCACCACAAAGAGAGCTGCTATAAATATTTTAGAACACATACGTTCTCTTCCTTTTTCCCTGACCACCTTGGGAAACAGACCTAATAGTGGTAATATAACCATTAATTTGCAAAATAGAAGCCAGTTATTTTGTAGCTTCCATCTGTTGAGATTGCTACTGGAGTGGAGTGTGGTGGGGGAAGGCAGGCTTGAAGTGACAGAACAAACTCACTATTTCTTAATGCCCTTTGCAGAAAACAATCCTTCTGACCAAAGCAGCGGACCACACACATCATTTCAAACAATATGAGGAAAAAGAATAATTAACAGCTGAACTGATGAAATGAGCTGAAAATGTTCTTCTACTCACTGACCTGGCAGGTTTATTTGTTCATTTTTGTTTTGTTTTGTTTTTATTTTTAAAGAGCAAGGTACAAAACATATGCCAATTGCCATTTAGGTGTCCTGCTCTAGCACATTATTTTAAATGGCAGTGATATTTTCTTAAGCAGCCAGGAGGTCACAGTTCAACTGTTTCTTTTGCTTTGAAATTTTTTGCAAAATGCTCACTTGATTGAGGCTAGAACTTGTTCTTATAATTATGGAAAAGGAAACCATTAATTTCTGTAGTAAATAGCCAGCTTAAATTGGTAATATCTTCTAATTCATCATCTTTGCTGATAATTTTGAAGATATTTTCTTTCCTATACAAAGATTCCCATAATACCAACATAACAGAGGCATGAGGGTTTTGTGGCTGAGCCCAACCCTGGATTTGAGTCGCTGCCTAACAGTTTGTCCCTAACGAAATTCTGGCCAGGGAAGAACCATTTCTCATCCAACAAGGGCAGCTCCAGGCCTGGCACCACTAAATTCCCACCCCAGTGTTCAAAGGGACCCGCCACCCTATACAACATGGTCAACCTCTCTCACCTTGAGCCAGACCTGTGGCTTGCTTCTGATGAATCTATGCTGACTTTTTGTAATCACTGTTTAGTTATTTTCTAACCATGTCCTTATTGATCTATTTTAGAACTTCCCAGGTATTGAAGTCAAGTATACTGGTCTGAAGCTTGAAGACTTCTCCCTTTTTATTGAACATTGGGACATTCGTCTTTCTCCAGTTTTGCAGTACCTCTCTTTTTCTTCACTCTTTAAAAATATCACTGACGTTGGCACAGCAATCATACCTGACAGTTTTCTCATTGTCTAAGAATTCAGTTATCTGGCTAGGCCCCTGAATTCATCCAGGAAGACCAAGTCCTCTATTACTAGCTCATATTTAGGTTGCTTATCAAGTGCTTTTCATCAGGAGTTGCGGATAAAGTAGAAATGATGAGCTTTATTAATCTACTAGGAAATCAACAGAAAAGCTACAACATGCCTATGCCAGCAAAAAGACTTCCCGAAGCTGTGAATGGTCCCACTGCCATGTACACTACCTAAATTTGAAACCATTTTATTCCTGGTTTTGCAGTAGGTGGGGGAGCATGTCACAGACCTCTGGAGGAATGGAATATACCATGCTCTTCTTATGTCACATTAGTAAATATCTACTTTTAAGAGCTCGGTTTCATGGACTTAACTAGTAATTGGTATGTATTAGCTGATAATCATTGGGGGAAACCTACCAGTGGGGGCTCATGAGATTAAAATACTAAAAAAAAAATACCTAACCCCTCAGAGCTACCTCTAGAACTATGAAAGAAAACATAGCTTTTGAGTTCTGGGGACCCAACTTGTCAGTGCTAGTTGAAGTTAGAAAAATAGCCTCAAATAAGCTACAAAGAAAAGTAATACCAAAGAAATAAATGGAGAAAAACAAACCTAACAAGTCTTTCTTTATTTCTATATTTTCTTCTGCTTCTCTGTGCTTTCTTCTGAACTTCCTTTTCCTCTCTGTGCATTTTTTTAAATGACCCTCTTTTTTGGCATGTCTATTGCAATCACACTCCCTAAAAGCTCCCTCCCCAACTGAAAACAAGGAGGAAAAAAAAAACTTTTAACAAATAAGAATAGTCAAGCAAAATGAATCCACACAATAACCAGGGCCCCAAAATGTATGTCCCTTTCTGTACCTTGATTTTGACATCTCTCTATCAGGAGGTACCTAATATGCTTCATAACAACTTCATCAACAATCAGGCTTCACTAAAATAACAGGATATAAAATAAACCCACAAAAACCAAAAATATTTCTATTTAGCAACAGCAAAATCCAGGAAGGGACAATAGAAGGCAAAAGCCTTTTCAAAATAACTTCACAGTGCATAAAATATCTGGGAATCAATCAATAAAGATACATTCAGCACCTGTATTGATAAAATTATAAAATATTTCTTAAATTAAAAAAATGACTCAAGTAATTTGAGGGCTGGTCAGTGCTCATGGCTAAGCCAGACTAATATTATTAAAATGATACTACCTAAATTAATTTAAAAATTCAGTGTTATCCTAATCACTATCCTAGGGATATTTAAAAGAACTAGACAAAATAACAAATATACTCAAAAAAGCAAAGGCTCTGTAATTATAAGAAAAAGGAATAAAGGAAGATTGATGGGGAAATAGAAGTTCCAGACTTAGCATTATAATTAAAACAGTAGTCATCAAAATGATTTAAAACTAGTTTAAAATTTAAAAACTAGATAAGTTGAGCAGAATACTTTGCTTAGGGAAGAAGCAAAAACTATTTACTTCATTAACAGTGTTCAATAAACCTGAGAACATATATTAATTGGGGAAAAATTCCAATTTTGACAAGAATTATTAAGAAAAGTTAGAAAAGAATTTGGCAGAAATTAAACTTATATTAAAGTTTAATACTATCACAATGAGCTCAAACAGATACGGGGCCTGACATTAAAACACAAATGATTTTTTATAATTGGAAGAGAACCAGATCTAAAAGTTTTCACAGGGAGAATATGTAATCAACTAGAGATAAAGGCAATCACAAACATAAAATATATCATCTCACATACATGATATTGAAAAGCTTTTGCATTTAAAAAATCAGCATAATTAGGAGAAGACAGGAAATGTTCAACTAGGGAAAAAAATTCTTGCACCAAATATTTCTGTTAAAGGTTAGGTAGCCAAGATATATATCTAAGGCTAATATATAGAAACAAAAGCCATTTTCCAATGGCCAAGAAATCAAAAGAGATAAACAGACAGTTCTCAAAAAGAACTACAAACTATTAATCACTGTATCAAAGACTTTTCCAAATTACTAATAAAAAGAGAAATATACATTGAAACAACTCTGAATTTTCAACTCCCAGGAAACTGGCAAAGATGAAAATAATCATCGTTGGAAAGTTTGTGGTAAGAAAGGTGCACTGATATGTTGGTGGAGCAGTAAATTGGTCAACCATTCTGGAAAGCAATTTAGAATCACGCTAAGAAAATGACTAAAATATCTCTAACCTTTGACCCAAAAATACTGAATCAAAGAACTTCATGATGAAAAATAAAGCCCTGTATACACCAAAATATTCACGGCAGAACATGATACCAGAGCAAAGAACTGGAAACAAAGCAAATGAACAGGGGAACAGCTAAACAAATTGCAGTGTATTAATGTAATAGAATATTATTGCACTGTAAAAAAATGAATATGATTAATTCAGAGAAGCATGGGAAGACATTAACTGATGTGGAGTGAATTAGGCGTGAACAAGAGAACAATACACATGAGTAAAATGATATAAATGAAAAGAACAACAGTAATGAAAACCAAAATTGAATACTGTGAAGTTCTAATGATGAACTTTTTTTCAAAGTATTGGAAGAGTCCCTGGCCATTGAACACTACATTTAATGGCACAATTAGTTGATTTGTCCATTAATTTTGTTGAACTGCTTTTTTTTTCTATTCTTTGTTACAAAAGCTGCTCTTTGGGAAGGAGATATATTGGGAAATGCCAGTGATTTAAAAACAAAATATATAAATAATTTTTAAAGAGATAAGCCAGGATGAAAATCTGTTTTGAGCAGTTGCATTTGTCACATAAGAGAATGCATGATTGAATATTTCAAGGCAGTTTGATGAGGTCATTGTGAATATATAAAAAATGCTTTTGTTTCCTAAACAGAAATACACACATACACACACACACACACACACACACACACACACACACACACACACACACTAAACAAACAAAAACACTTCAGTTTACGTACTTTGCAAAGCCAATGAAGTCTTCATGGTTGGTATTAATATAGGATAACTGGATGTCAATCAGCAATAACACCTAAAAGTCAAAGCAAAACAGAACAACTTTTGAACACAGTACTTCATGAAAGGCAATCTTTAAAATGCTCCAGAACCTCAAAGATCAACACTGGACTTTAAAATCCTTTAGCACAAATGTCTAACCAATAGAGAAAACACTATGCCAATTTTATTTTTTTCCATGAAGCCCACTTTCTTTTATTTCATTTCTTAGTCCAACTCAGAACCAATATATTCTTATCTTGAGAGATAGTCAATAGGGAGCTTGTGCACTACACTGGTGTCAACATAATATAGTGTCCCACCTGTGGCTTATTTGGGGAGTACATGAATGAGAGTTGGCCAAGAAGGTCTGGCATTTTTAGGTTGCAATCAGGATCTTTGGCAGAAATACTCACATGAAACAAATCATAGAAGTGCCGTCATATCAGCACAAAAGGAGTTTGAATAAAGATAATAGTATTACAATTTGTACTATGAATGTTTTCTTATCTACAATCTGAAATTAAGCTACTGTAATGAGAAGAACAAGAAGGTGGTAACTCATCATAGAGGCCTATATGTTGAAAAACTCTTCCAGGAGAAAGAAAATCTAACAGTAGGAAGACCAATGATCCAATTTCCTGGAGCTTTATCCCCAAAAGATAATGTAGCAGCCAGAGACAGACCTCTACTATCAGTTACTTCAAAGGTCTTTCATTAACAACTGTTTGAGCTACTTCTCCTTAAGCCAGTCACTAAACAAACATAAACGGATAGGAGAAGTAACTGAAGGGCCTACCTGGGATCATTAAGGGCCTTTTCCCCCTCAGCATCAGGAACCTTTTCTCTGTGTCTCCAAGTATAAAGCAGTTTATTCATTAATCTTACTACAAGTCACAAGGGCATAGCTGCAGATCACTATTTAGTGTAACAAGTACCCATTGACTGACTTATAACTGAGTGAGAGCACAACTGAAATTCATGAAATAATAAGTGTATATGTATATGTGTGTGTATATGTAAACAGACATGCATATGTGTAGATACATATAGGCATGCACACAGATATAAGTATCATGTATATGTACGTGCAGCACATCTGTGGGTGCCCACATATGTAAATTACCAATTTGTACATACACACACACACACACACACACACACACACACACACACACACATACACTTATTGGTACATGAATTTCAACTGTGTTCTCATTCAGTTATACATCGATCAACAAATATTTGTTACATTAAGAAGTGATCGCTTTGGGAGTTACCTTTAAGGAGTTCTGCCCTTGTGATGTATATGATGTATATACGTGTACACACACATACGTAATGTATGTTCACATATACATACATATATCAACCTAAAGTTTCAAACTTCAAACCGTAATTTCAAATCCAAACTGTGGTTCACAGAGATCCAGAATGTCCCTAAGCGGCAAATATTCAACCATGGGGAAATAACATGTTCAAGAAGAAATGAGAGGGAAGTCAGGTTATCAGCTAATTTTAAGGAGGGAGAGGATTTACTCCCTAAAAATCAAAAAAATCAGTGCTCTTCTCGTGTAGAGGATCCTAAGAAATGGGAAGACATAACAAACTAGACAAAAGGCAAGAATGAGCATTTTCAAAAGGGAAAAATATCTTATGCCTCTTGCATGGATGGATATCTGTAATTTTTGTACTCGTGTACTGAAGTGACACTACTATAAGAAATGTTAACATTTTAATTATTCACCTGTTTCCTATGCTCATGTCATGAATGTTTGAGGTATTCATAGACATTAACATGAACCAAAGGGTAGAAACAGACAAGTAGAAAAATTATAGATGTTTCATGTTTATGTTCCAGGAAATTTCACATCTGCGTTCATCTCAGGAAAACGAGAAGATGTTTGTGTAGGGGAGAAGGGAGATAGAACACTTTCCGTAATTTTGACATTTTCTATGAGCATTGTCTTTTCTCATCTTAAAGAGTTATATATAATTTATGAAGTTGTCTGAAGTTCAGAGATGTTAAGTGATTTGTCCATGGTCACAGTATCGGAAGTAGAATTTGAACTCAGGCCTTCCTGACTCTAAATCCATCCCTCTATTATGTGAAATTTCCTCTTTTTTGAAAAAGCAGATGATACAGGATACAGTTAATCTCTTGAAACAGAAATAATTACCAAGCTCTGGACTGATCTTTAGTACTTGAAGTATTCAAACTAACATAGTAAACAAAATGTGTCCATATTTTAACTATTAAAATTTACGCTTTAAAGAAAAAAACTCCTAAGGTCATTTTATATCCCCCAAATCCTTCAGTTCATAGAAAGCCAATGCTGGGGCAAAGGCCTGAGAAATCATAGGATTCCCTACATACATATATTTGAATGGAGTTCATCAAGCTGACAGAGTTAATATTGTCCCAGTTACTGTCAACCACATCTCAGAGAATAATTCTCCCTCTTGTGGACACTGCACAGGGTTTTAAAAAAATGAGGAACTATTAAGAGAGAAAATAAAATCATGACAATTTCCATTTCAAAGGACAATGATAAATGATATTGATACTTGAAAGTCTCAAATCCAAACTATGTTCTATAAACAGAAAGACAAAACAGTAGAGTGGAAATAGCAATGGACTGGAAGTCAAAGGCTCTGATTTGAGTTCTAGCTTCCATACTTACCAACTATATTCTCTGACATTTCCTTATTAGCTATCATGCCACTGAACCTTTCATAGCCTCAGTTCCCTTAGCCATAAAATGGTGATAATACTCATTATTATCAGCCTCACAAAGTTGTTGTATGGAAACCAAAACATTTTTTAATCTGAAGTATAGACACAGATAGATTAGATAGACAGATCTATGATTTGTCGTTCCCTTCCCTTTCCCACCATTTCTCTACTTTGATGGACATTTCTTTCTCTTTTCCTCTTGATTTCTTTATCCTTCTTTCCCTCTCAGCCTCTTTTCTCTTCTTTCTTTCTATCCACACCTTAAAATCTTAACAATTAGACACAAGAAGATACTATAGACATTTAGAACTAGAAGATACCTTGGAGATACTTTACTAAAATTCCTTCATTTTATACATGAGGAAACTGAGTCAAACAGGGTTAAGTGACTTGCCCTGAGTCACACAGCTAGTAAGTGTCTGAGACCAGATTTGAATTCAGTAAGATAAGTCTTCCTGATTCTAGGTCTATCTCTCTATATACTGCATTACCTAACTTTATTTTTAATAGTTATTCCTAAAAAGATAAAGTCAACATTAGGTTGTTTTTAAAAATTTTATGTGGCCTATGATTTTCCTTCATATCAGTGGCCTCACAAAAAGGAGTCTCCTCAATGGGATATTAGCAATTACAGGATTATCAAATATCTTCTAATTCTAATTATTTGATGTACCAACTCATAGTGACTCCCTAAAATGTCTAAAACATTTTAAAGGAGAAAATATGGGAATTATTCCCTAGAATCTCTCATAAAAAACTCATCTGCTTCAAATATTTTTTCTCCATCCATCAACTTAAAATTTATTTCTTACCTGGTCTTTAGTCTTTCCTTCTCTTTCACGAATGTGGTTAGCAACAATCCGTTCTGTTTCTTCACAAAGTCTTGGGAAGTTTGCAAGCTATAAGAAAAAAATAAATAAAAATATAAATTATTTTAAAGCATTTAACAAAAAGGAACATGGAGGTATTTGCTTCCTTCTTGTGGTTTTGGAATCTTCTTTTTTTTTTAAATACAACATTGAATTCCCATACCTTTGACCCAGAAGTCCCACTGCTAAGACACAAAGAAAGGCCCCATCTGCACCAAAACATTAATTGCACCACGTTTGTGGTAGCAAAAAGATGGAAACAAAGTACATACTTATTAATTAAGGAAGAGCTAAAGAAATTGAAGTTTGTGAAAACTCCATGAAAATTTACCACATCATAAAAATTAAAAAATGAAAAAATACATAATTAATATTAGTTGAGAGAAACCTGGGAAGACTGATACAAAGTGAACTAAGCACGGCGAAAGAAAGAAAGAAAGAAAGAAAGAAAGAAAGAAAGAAAGAAAGAAAGAAAGAAAGAAAGAAAGAAAGAAAGAAAGAAAGAAAGAAAGAAAGAAAGAAAGAAAGAAAGAAAGAAAGAAAGAAAGAAGGAAAGAAAAAGGAAGAGAAAGAAGAAAGAAGAAAGAAAGAAAGAAAGAAAGAAAGAAAGAAAGAAAGAAAGAAGAAAGAAAGAAAGAAAGAAATGTGTAACTATTATGAGGTAAAAGACGAAAAGAAAAAAAAACTGAAAAGAGAAAATCAATTATTATATAACTATAATGGACAAACTTGGCCCCAGTGGACAGCTGAGGGAACTCTGCCTTTCTCCATTTGACGCAAAGGTAGAGGATTATGGATATGGAATGTTTTATAGACTGGGAGGCACAATTGATGTGCCAAATTGTGTAGCTAACCTGCTCATTTTTTCTCTTTCTTTTAAAAATCTTTGTTACTGCAAATGATTTGCTGGAAGAGGAAGGATATAATTGGAAATGAATGTGATATAAAAACAAAAGGCATCAAGAAAAATAATAATTTTTTAAATTTAAAATTACATCATTAAAGGGGTAAAGTAATAAACAATCAAGGAAGTCTACAGAGCTCATTATTACCGAAACTGCAAAATTATTTTTAAAAAACAGCAAATAAAATATGAATGACAGCTATGTAGAGGAGTAAAATTAACTTTAAATAGCAAAGAAAATCATTAAAAAGACTGCCAATTGAATATTGCATATTGATGGAAATGTTTATTGTCATAAAAATTGCTATAAGACTTTCTTTTTCATTAGAAAGCATGAAAAGATTTCTTCTCTAGCAAAGCAAATAGAAATATTTCTACAATTTTTCCAGATAATTCAAACCAACCACAAATTCACCTGAATACAGGTCAAGGAGCCTTGAATGATTTTAATACCTTTAAGAATTCTTTGTTTCTCTTTTTAGTGGAAATCTGCACAAAACCAGCAAATATGATACCTGTATGTACCTTCTATCTATATGCACTCTAAGATGATCAATTAATCAATCAACAAGCTTTCATTAAGTGCCTACTGTGTTTCAGGTGCCATGGAAGTACAAGAAACACTAAAACAAATGAAACAATACTATCCTTAAGGAACTTAAAGTCTACAGGGGACAATAATATATATGCAGATAAATATATCCAATATAAAGAAAAGGCAAGGGCTGGCAGAGGCTCTAGCAGCTGGGGGATCAAAAGAGGCCTCCCCTGGGAGCAGCATTTAATTGAGCTTTAGGGAGTTTTAGAGGGGACCTAAGGCAGAGTAAGTACATTCTAGGAACATTAGGTGGAATGTCTATGGAGGAGCAGCAGAAAGGCGAATTTGACAAGCCCCCAAAATAATAAGGTTGGAAATATAGTCTGTAGACAGGTGTAAAGGGTTTTAAATGACAAACAGAGGAGTTTGCATTTGATCCTAGAGGTAATATAGATTCAGGAGTAGTTTACTGAGCAAAGGAGTGACATGGTCCCACCTGTGCTTTAAAAACAATCATGGTGGCAGCCTCGTGGAGCCAAAGCAGATCCAAAGTGGATCCCTGATGGCTACATATTTACCTCTAGGTTATATTATCTATATTATATTGTATTTTTATTTATTTTGTTAAAAATTTCCCAATTACATTTTATTCTGGTTTAGGCCTCACTTGGGAATCTTGTAGTAAGTAGTGAGTTTGACATCTGTGGTGTGGAGGATGTTTTGGAGAGAGGAGAGACTTTAGGCAAAAAAGAACACCTAGGAGACTATTTCAATAGTCCAAGGTGATGAAGGCCTACGTCCATGGTCATATGAAGGGAGAGAAGAAGATAACTGTAGGAGATGATATCAAAGCAGAATGTTTATGACTTGCAGTTGATTGGTCCTTCCAAGCTGTCTGCATGACTTCTCTTTATAGGCATCATTCCATCCTCAATTTGTGAATTTCCACAGGGTGCCTACACACCTAAAATGCTTCATTTCCCATTGTAGAATCCCTGATTTTCTTCCAAACTCAATTTAAATGATAACCTCCTAAATAGGGCCCTTCCTGATTCCCCACTGACTGGATGTGTGAAGTGAGGGAGTATGAGAAAATGAAGCTAATGCCAAGATTGTAAAATTGGGTCAATAGGAAAGTTTGGAAAAGAAGCTAATTGATGGGAGTGATGAGGAGGAAAGGGAGAAGAAAGAGGATTCAGCTAGCACACATTACTTTGTTATGATAGGAAAAGGATAATTTTATTCTTACAATAGGATTAGGGTTATAGCACCTGGAGGCAACTCCAAATTTGCATAGGGTCGCCATCAGGTCTTCCAGGTCTTACTTTCTACCTTGGATCTACACCTTCAGGCATCAGGGACTGCCCTACACATGTAGCCTAGGCAATGCTAGTCTCTTGCTGTCCTCTCCACAGCAGCAGTCCAAAGAAAATGTTTGAGCTTTCCAAGAGGAGGAACTTTCCATTTGTATCCCCAGTGCTTGGCACACGGTGAGCATTTAATAGATGCTTTTTAGTTTGATTCAAAGTACTCTGGAAGTTCACCTCTGCTTATAACCATGAGCCTCACTTTTTCTAGTTGGCCTAAAAAAAAATTACTTCAAATAAAGGGCATTTAATGAAAGAGTACAGTAAGAGACATTGCAATAAAATGTCTCTTTTGTAAACCTGACACACACTTTTCCACAAATACACATACTTTCAGATGAAAGAATGAATATGCGTAGGGAACATGGAAGAAGGGATACAAATGCAGGCAACATGTTACCAGGAGATATGTGGAGTTGTAAAAATGTGAGGAATACATGACCAGGGTACATTCAAGGAGGGGCACCAATAGAGAACACATATAGGGAGGGCACTGCAGGGCTGCTGATGTCTTCTGGTAACATCCCTGCATCTTTCCCCATGCCTACTTCCCCACTGCCCTCATGCTGTCATTGATAAGCTTAACACTGACCAATTACTGCTAAGTACAACTTCAGTGCCCCCCTCTATTAATTACCTTTGACTGATTTGTCTCTATCTCTATATCTCTATCTGTTTTATCTGTTTCCCCCATTAGGCTGTGAGCCTCTTGAGATCAGGCACTGTCTTTTGTTTTTTCTTTGTATCACCAGCTTAGAACAGTGCCTCGTATACCTTAAGTACTTATTGTCTAAGACCACTGAGGGGATAGTTCCTAGACATGAACCTTCTTCTCTTCATTTATATAAAATATACATGCAGAGCTTTAGCCAGCCCAGTTGGTCTTAAGATTTCAGGACCAACTTAATATGTCCAGTGAAAATAATTGTCTTCTTAATTGTATTCCACACAACATATTAAGTTGTTGGGAAACATCTTCTTTTGGACACCCATGCAAATATAAATCACACAATGAAAAAAAAAATAATCAAACCGAAAAGAAATTACAGCAATAGTAGACTATAGGGAAGTATTAGAAATTTCATTAACAATATATAGGAAATGGGGGCAGCTAGGTGGTGCAGTGGATAGAGCACTTGCCCTGGAGTAAGGAGGACCTGAGTTCAAATGGGGCCTCAGACACATAACACATACTAGCTGTGTGACCCTGGGAAAGTCACTTAACCCCATTGCCTAGCCAAAACAAAACAAAACAATATATAGGAAATGTATTATAGCAGAAAAATATTTTTAAAATACAAAATAGTAACGATAATAAATATTTATTCATAAACTATCTGACTGTTGAAGCATTCCAGACTTTGGGTTTTTACTGAGTCAAAAAAAGGCTAAAACTAATTATAAAATCTTAGAGATTGAGGGTTTATAAACACCAAAAGACAGAAGTTTTTAAGCTGTCCAGGCTGACTACATGTTGGAACAGTTTATTCAGAAGTGAGAAGCTATAGTACTATAATTTGTGCTACAAAATAATACAGTAGACTGAAAAGAAATGAAAAGGTAGCCATGTTTAAGTTTTCAGTCGACCAGAAAAGGAGTAGCATACACTGGAAAAAGTCTCTTTATGGAGAACAGAAAAATAAAAATACTGGAGGAGAGCTAATGAGTTCAGAATTTAGAAGCCGCTGAACGACAAAGCAGTTTGTGTGAATCCATAGCGTCAGTTTGTCAGTGTTCCTGGAAATGTTGCAGGAGCATGAAAATTAAAATGTTAGTTTAAAATGCTCCTAGGCAGTAAAAGAGCATGTAATATGACACCGTGTACAAATATAGGGAGGTCTGCTCTCAATTGAGGGCACAAGTCCCAATTCTTGCCCTTATGATTCACACAGGAAGAGAAACAAAACACAGACATTCAAAGTTATTGCTGATCAGGCCTTCCGCCACTCACCTCATTAGGGAAATAGCTCATACAAAAATAAGCTGCACCAGGAGTCCCCGATCTGTTTTCATTTCCCTTTTCTTAAAGAACAATCGACTTTGCCTACTCAGCTCTCTCCCTTAATTCATTTATTTTCCTTCCTTTATTTCTAATTCCTTATTTGCTCTGCTTCCCTTCCCTAATATAGATACATATATGCATACATATATATAATTTCTATATCAATTTCAATTTTATTTTACCCTTGGATATTATCGAACAAATCCACAGTGTTCAGAA